CTGCTTTGCGCAAGACTGGCCAGGGTAACGTGTTCATCAAGAACCTCGACAACGCCATTGACAACAAGGCTCTCCACGACACCTTCGCTGCCTTCGGTAACATTCTCAGCTGCAAGGTCGCCCAGGATGAGTTCGCCAACTCCAAGGGATACGGATTCGTTCACTACGAGACTGCCGAAGCTGCTAACAACGCCATCAAGCACGTTAACGGTATGTTGCTGAACGACAAGAAGGTCTTCGTCGGTCACCACATCTCCAAGAAGGACCGCCAGAGCAAGTTCGAGGAGATGAAGGCCAACTTCACCAACATCTACATCAAGAACATCGATCTCGAGATCACCGACGACGAGTTCCGCGTCATGTTCGAGGCCTTCGGTGAGATCACCTCCGCTACCCTCAGCCACGACCAAGATGGCAAGAGCCGTGGCTTCGGTTTCGTCAACTACGCCAACCACGAGAGCGCCGAGGCCGCCGTGGCTGAGATGAACGAGAAGGAGGTTAAGACCCAGAAGCTTTACGTTGGCCGTGCCCAGAAGAAGCACGAGCGTGAGGAGGAGCTGCGCAAGCAGTACGAGGCCGCCCGCATGGAGAAGGCCTCCAAGTACCAGGGTGTCAATCTCTACGTCAAGAACTTGACTGACGATATTGATGATGAGAAGCTCCGTGATCTTTTCACTCCCTACGGTACCATCACTTCCGCCAAGGTTATGCGTGATGCCGCTGAGCGCTCCCCCTCTCCCGAGGGCGAGGAGAAGGAGGCCAAGGACTCCGAGGAGAAGGAGGTGAAGACCGAAGAGAAGGCTGAGGAGAAGACTGAGGAGAAGGCCGAGGAGAAGGCTGAGGAGAAGAAGACCGAGGAGACTACCGAGGAGAAGAAGACCGAGGAGACCACTGAGGAGGACTCCGAGGAGAAGAAGTCTGAGAAGAAGGCCTTCGGTAAGAGCAAGGGCTTCGGCTTCGTCTGCTTCAGCAGCCCCGATGAGGCCTCCAAGGCTGTCACCGAGATGAACCAGCGTATGGTCAACGGCAAGCCCCTCTACGTTGCTCTCGCTCAGCGCAAGGATGTCCGCCGCAGCCAGCTTGAGGCCAGCATCCAGGCTCGCAACACCATCCGTCAGCAGCAAGCCGCTGCCGCTGCCGGTATGCCCCAGCCTTTCATGCAGCCCGCTGTCTTCTACGGTGGTAACCAGCAGGGCTTCATGCCCCCTGGACAGCGTGGTGGTATGCCCTTCGCCCCCCAGGGCGGTATGCCCATGCCCAACATGCCCGCTGGACGTCCCCAGTACCCCGGTCCCTTCCCCCAGGGTGGCCGTGGCATGCCCCCCAACCAACAGCTTCCTCCCAACTTCCAGGGTATGCCCATGGGCATGCAGGCTCCTGGCGGTATTCCTAACGGCATGGGTTACCCTATGCCCCAGGCTTTCGGACGTGGCGGCGGTGGCCGTGGTGTTCCCGGTATGCCCATGAACATGCGTGGTGGCCCCGGTTTCGGCCGTGGTGGTCCTCAGATGGGTCGTGGTGGTGGTCGTGGCCAGCCCGCCCCTGGCGGTCAGTCCGCTGGTGGCGAGCCCGCCTCTGCCAACCAGGCTCTCCTCGCCGCTCCCCCCGCTCAGCAGAAGCAGATGCTCGGCGAGGCTCTTTACCCCAAGATCCAGGCTCAGCAGCCCGAGCTTGCTGGCAAGATCACTGGTATGCTTCTTGAGATGGATAACGCTGAGCTGCTTGGCCTGTAAGTTACACCGATTTTTTTTATTATGTGTGAGACATGATTTACTAACTTTCTTCCAGGCTCGATGATGAGGAGGCTCTCCGCGGCAAGGTCGATGAGGCCCTTAACGTCTATGATGAGTACATGAAGAACAAGGGTGATGGCGAGACCGAACCCAAGCCCCAGGAAGCCGCCAAGGAGGCCCCTGTTGAGGAGAACAAGTCTTAATTGATGTGTTCTTTTGTCTTCTCGGAAATCTTGGACGCACGTTTTTGACGACTTTTCCTTTCTATCATTATTTGTTCCCATTTTTTACCCTGTCCCCCTACATCTCCCTCTGATCCTGATATCCCTCGGTTCGAAAAGTTTGTTCTTAGGCAGTCACCTTCCTGGTGTTTAGTGAATGCGGTATGACATTCGGATTTTTTTTATTTTTCCGGTTTCCCTAGTATGTGACCTATTTCCATTTACCTTCCATTTGGACTGGGCTATATTGAATGTCCTCGGGCGATATTGGCACTGGTAAAAGTCTTTTTTTCTTAGGCACTGGGTGTGGTTCCTTTGGCAACTTTTCGCCATCTTCGTTTTTATTTATTTATTTTATTTTTTTCCGCTGGGAGGGATTTGTGAAGTTTTTTTCCTTTCCCACACCTCTTTTGCTATTTTCTCCAGGTTGTGATTCACTCAATTTGAGTGTCAGATAGATTTATGAATTCCTCACGGAAAGAGTCCGGTGGTCCTTGTGTTTGTTCTCGGGTTCGAGAGAACAGCGCCAGACAATTAATGGGATGACCGTGGCCTATTTTGCTTCATCAAGTTCCTTTCGTAGATGAGCGATGTCTGTATTTCCTGAGACTCTTCAACCCCTTAGCCACTATCGTCCGGGGCCGTCTCCGATGACTCAGCATGTCTCGATCACGACGGTGGATGGATGATTTCTGTGGAAACATCGAGGTGTAGAGAACATCTCATTCACACGAGATGATATATGCACAATGGCATCGGAATTTGTACCTGAGACATCTGAGATTGGCTCCTTGACGGCACACTCGAACGAGCACAGCCAGTTCGTCGGTAGTTCGAGTGGCGTCTATTTCATCAAGACAGTGAAACGTGCATTCAACGGCCTAGATGGGCCGGGTTCATTTGAGTCCAGTTTCCCTACAGCAGAAGAAACACTCGTCGGTACCGAAACCTCACCTCATGACAAGCGCCAGCGCACCTCATCCGTCAAAGACACCGCTTCGTCCTTGGAGGTGGTCGAATCTCCCGCAGAATGGACCTACGACCCATCATTGACGGCATCTCTGGGAACTCTACCACCCTCAGATGTGGCCAAGGGCCTAATGATGATGTATTTCAAAGTCTGGCACCCTCTGTTCCCGTTCCTACATGGTCCCACTTTCTTGCAGGTGATGGAGAAGGTCTACTCCAGTGGAGATCAACCTCCGCACGCGCAGGAACCATTCCCAGACCATCGAAGTACATGCTGGACAACTATTTTCCAATGTGTCTTTAATCTAGGCAATCTGCTAGCGCCGGACTTGGATCTACCGTTGGGATCGAAGATCCAATCACCGAACAGTTTCAAGTCTTTGCTCGGGACTCTCTCCTCTCGACATGATACCGTCTCCCTACAAGCGCTTCTAGCCATCCAAGTGTACCTCGTCGCGACCATGTCGCTTCGACAAGCATCGACTGTCGGAGGCTGTATCCTACGCTCGATGCTTCATGCTGGTCTCCACAGGTGTCCATTTCGATACAAGCAACTCTCCACCCACGACCGACAACTACGGAAGCGGGTATTTTGGTGCGCTTATGCGATTGATCGATACCTGAGTCAGGCTTTGGGTTTGCCACTTGGTATACAGGATTCTGATATTGATGTGTGTCTGCCTGCTGCCCGGGAAATGCATTCCCCTCGGAGCCAGGCGACTGAATCTGTAAGTGGGAGCTCTGCCATGCAGTACGGTAATAAGGAGGACCACAGCAAGGAAATTATTCTTGCTAGCTACGTCGATTCAGGGACTTTGACAGGCCGGGCATTGGAACTCTTCCATAAATCAATATTGGTTCGATCTGTTCGTCGCACTTCGGTGTTGTTCCTCGTGACAGACGTCCATAAGTGGTGGAATGGCCTTCCCACCGGTCTTCAAAGAAAGCCAACGGGAGGATCTGCAATGGTGGACACTGCGTTTGATTTTGCTCCTTTTTTTACTGTGCTATATCAGCATCTCATTCTGATCATTCACCGGCCTTCGCTGTCGCTGGATCCATCGGCTGCGGAATTCTCTTCTGGATTGCAAACTTGCATCGGGGCTGCCCGGGCTATTCTTTCGGCGCTCAGGGTGCAAGTTGATAGCCAGCAGACTCTATTCTGGCCTGGCTTCTTGTCGGCTGCGTGGATGTCTGGGTTGGTTTTGGCATTGGCCTGTCAACTGAACCAATATGTGTTGAGAAAGGGTCTTCAGTATGCTTCTTACTCTGGGATCTTCAATCGATTACTATGTATTAACTACTCGATAGGGAAATCGAAGAACTTTCGGGATTCCTGCGTTTGATGTCTACTCAGTGGGAGACAGCCAAACACTGCCACATGTCGCTCTCAGTGCTGGCGGCAAAAGTCCAACAGTCAGGAAACGGTTCTGATCCAACAGAAAACTCCCAAGCATATGTGACGAGGGGCTCTGAAGGAAGTCCGACATTTGTGGAATCTTTAAATGCACGCGAGGAGAACAGACAGAGACTTAGTCGTATATCGCACTTGCAAGAAGACCCTGAGTTATCCGCAGAATCGTCCGACCTTGAGCAACGGAATAATACATGGGGAGAATCTATACACAGGGGGCAAAATCCCACGCTGTTTCCTTCGGCGTCGATGCACCCACCACAACTGAACGAGCAGGGAATCCTCACCGACATATCCTCTTCACTGCATATGAATTTACAGGACACGGAGCCCACACAGTTTGAGGGGATATCGAATTTCGACTTGAACATGGTTGATTTAATCGATGGCGCTAACTTCGACACTCTGTTCGATATGATCGGACAGCAATTCCCAAGCTTCTAAGACCATCCTACTCACTACTGATTCAAAACACGAAACAATTTACAATCTAGCAAACAAGTCTACTTTCATAATACCAAAAAGGCCCAGCCAAAATAATCATATTATCCACGCAGTGGACATGGATATTTCTCTTCAACGCTCTTGTATCATGGCTATTTCCCCCCGCTGTATCAAATGCTTATGTATCTCATAGCCCGGGCCCAAACCCCTCCATCATCATCAACTCTGGTGTTGCGCATGAGGCCTGAAAAGCAAAGCCCGATTAATCCGCACTCTCCCATTCCGAATCTCCTGGCAATAGTAGTCAGCCTGCAGCTCGGCCGCCGCGAGAATAGACGCCTTGTTGGAATGGTAATCTCCGGGCACCTTGATAGAGACGCATAGTGGGTGATCATGATGCTTGGCATGGGCGGAGATCGAAGCAGTGTTCGTTCGAATGTAAGCTGCGACTGTGCGCATGAGTGTCTCGTCGTTAGAATGGGAGTCCCGTGGTTTGATGTAGACGTTCACCCAGTTGCTGACCTGGCGGGGATCGTACTCGGGCTCCGGGATTAGTTCCCCGTCGAAGTAGAACATGCTCTGCATCTTTCCGAGGTTGGGATTGGGGATGCCCATGCCTTGGATACGGTGTTGCGTACCTTGTTTTGTTTGGAGCGCCCTGATGTGGTTGGAGGGAAAGGAGGAAGATGGGAAGGAGTGAGGATAGAGGAAGGATGACTCGAGTGCTGTTTGGAATTAGAATCTGTTCATGTGCTCTGTCTAGCAACTTCTTGTTTATAGTTGGGAGCCTAAACAAAGGAGTTGTGATACAATACCATTTTCAAGTCTTTGATCTATTCCAGGATGTCTTTGTGCTGTGTTGAGTCTGTGGGAGATTCCCCAGTTTGAGATCTGCCTGGTTTATGACTCGAAAGAAGTCTGTGTATTCCTTCTGCCTACTCTATTATGACAATGGACCTTTCAGGTTGAGCTTCAAAATACAATATATGCATTTAATTGGCCATTTCGACTAGCACGGCATAACAGTATGAAAGGCGATGTTATCAGGACATACTGTCGTCGAATCTCAGACTCAAATGATCGAGAAAGCCATCTAAATGTATTGCTTTCATCTGGTTGTAGGCAGTAATATCATTTATGGAGGACTAGGCTGCTTAAATTATTGACCTTATACAGCTGAAAATTAGAAGGAAAAAAAAAAAAAAAGATAGTGCAATTCCCCCAGTCTATTAAAGACCCAGTCTAACTATGTCACCTGCTTCAATCATAAAAAAGATTTCTCCCCAGAGACCCCAAGAGCAAAACACCGCCAAACATTTCCCATGAATCCTTGCACTATCTCCGAAAAAGCAAAGCCCGATTAATATGAACAGACCCCCTAGCCACCTGCACTCTCAGATATTCCGCCGACAGCTCCGCAGCAGCAATAATCGACTCCTTATCATCATGTTCTCCGGGTACCTGGATCGAGATGCACAGGGGGAAATCGTGGTGCATAGCATGACCAGTGATGCTGACGACTCTTGTGCGGATACAGGTGACGATTGTGCGCATTATGGTGAGGTCATCGCATCTATAGTCGCGCGCGTTGAAGAATACGTTCACCCAGCACGTTGTTCGAGGGTTGTATTCGGGCTCTTGGATTGATCTTCCGTTTTGGTAGAACATCCCTTGGATAGTGTTGGTTGGGTTTGTGGGTTTGCGGCTGGAGGACTGACCTTTTTTCTTGGTTGACTTTGTATTTTTGATAAATGAATGGTGAGGCGAGTAGATGGATTCGAGCGGCTTTGGCTTGTTTGATGGCCCGTCTGAATGCTTTTTGGGTGATTGTGAGGCCCTGATATAGGGTGCTGATCCCGTTTAAATGTTGGACACTAAGACAAGAGCATACCGATATTGTTTCCATTCCTTGTATATGAGGAAAACAGGTGTCATATTTCTATAATGGCATTTTCAGCTTTCTGAGTTAATGGGCTCCTGATCTGTTCCGTCTTGTGCGAGATGGCTTTGATATTCTCTTTCTGGACATTCATACAAATTTACAGTCAAGTGATCTTTCTAGAACGGTTATTAAGAATGCGCTGCTTATTACTTGAAAGAAAAGTGTCTACAATTTCTATTGTCTGATAATCAAGGGTCAACTGATCTGTCTATCTAAAGTGTTATTGTGGACGATTAGAGACAAGAATCCAAAGAAAAGAAGGAAGGAAAGATAGAGGAAAAGAAAGACAATGGGTTGTCTCAGACTCTCTTTCAACCCAACTTCTCAATCTCCAGACAAACCGCATCCACAACCCCTTGAGTGTCAGATGTCCCTCCAAGATCACGAGTCAAAATACCCGCAGCACAAACCCGTTCGACACAACTCATCAATTGGGCAGCAGCATCCTTCTCTCCAATCCAGACAAGCATCTCCGCCGCCGACCAAAAGGTAGCAACCGGATTCGCAACCCCCTTCCCAGTGATATCAAAAGCACTCCCATGAACCGGCTCAAAAAGCGACGGATTCTTCCGCGTAGGATCTAAATTACTAGAAGGCGCAACACCAATCGACCCAGCCAACGCCGCAGCAAGATCCGACAAAATATCCATATGCAAGTTTGTTCCGACGATAGTATCAATCGACTCCGGCTTCGTCACCATCCGAACAGTCATCGCATCAACAAGCATCTTATCCCATTCCACATCGGGGAAGTCTTTCGCGACAACCGCCGCAACTTCATCCCACAACACCATCCCGTTGCGCATGGAGTTGCTCTTCGTGACAACAGTCAGGAGCTTGCGCGGCCGCGATCGAGCAGTCTCAAACGCGAATCGCATAATTCGCTCAACACCCACCCGTGTGAATACAGCTACTTCCGTCGCCGCTTCCCATTGCTGTCCAACGTGAGACCGTCCGCCTTGTCCCGCATACTCGCCTTCCGAGTTTTCCCGTACGAGCATCCAGTTAATGCCGTCTGTTGCGGTGTTGAGGGGACATTTGGTTCCTGGGAAGGTACGGACTGGTCGGACGTTTGCGTATAGCTGGAGTGGGCCGCGGATGGCAAGAAGTAGGCCCCAAAGGGAGATGTGATCCGGTACGTCTGGTTCTGTTAGGATTGCTGTTTACCGGTCCGATAACTGGTAGGATGGTATGCAGTATAGAGAACATACCGGGTGATCCAACGGCACCGAATAACACGGCATCGTACTTGCGTAGAGTGTCGAGGTAATATTCAGGTACATATCGTCCGGTTTGCTTGTAGTATTCGGTTCCCCATGGGATATGCTCAAAGTCGATCCTGAATGTACCGAGGGTCTTTGCGAGCTTCTCGACGACCTGGATAGTAGCACTGACTACCTCGGTACCAATGCCATCGCCTGGGATAGAGGCAATGCGGTATGGATTCTTTGAAGCCATATTCAGGAAAAGTGCGACTAGAGAAGATGTGATGATTATTTCCAGAGAATTAAATGCAGCTAAACGTTCAGACTATAAATATGGCTGCGATCAATATGGGTGGGTGATAGTTCATCCTGCCATATACAGCTTTTGACCAAATGGCCGCTGTAGCGACAAGCTGACCTTCGGCAGAACTTTCAGGCGATAGGATTTGCCGTGCGCCACTGTACCACACGCTGCTCGACTTTTGATCAGCCACATAAATAAAATGTCATCAAAATCAAAAGAAAGACGACCGGCGCGTATAACAATCGCCTGCAACGTATGTCGCTCGAGGAAACAAAAATGCAGCGGCCTCAAACCCATCTGCGAACAATGTCTCGAGAACAATCGACCGTGCAACTGGCCTGAACAGCTTCGAAGAGGACCAGAGAAAGGATATGTCGAAGCACTGGAGAATCGACTCAAGCTCACTGAGAGCATTCTTCTGGATTTGCTCCCACATGTCTCGGATGAGCAGCTTTCGGCTGCGATTCCGCGCCGAGAGAACAGCCAAGATCACGGTACTGGCACGTATATGCCATTTCCTAGACTTGCGAAGAGGGGGATTGAGAGTTGGTCGCAATTCCCTCTTGATACTTCTCACGGTATTCGGGGGTGGCAGCAAGCTTGTACTGAACCTGCAAGGGTGGGTTTGGAGACACAGGGCTCTAAGAAAAGGCGTTTGCAGAATGAAAGGTCTGATGGTTCGGTTCAAACGTCTGCTACAATTCGAGAGATTGATGGAATTGTCAATGAAACACCGAACCGTCCGGTCCTCGAGTCATTAGGTAATGCACACGAAGAGAGTGCTCCGGTGGAGAGAATGAGTTATTGGCAGGGAGCCCCATCAGTCGAGTTTCAACATCAGTTTCTCTGGTGAGAAAGTCAAAGTAGACTTCTTGATTCAAGTCCGTTCCATATCGTTTGAAATACCCTTTTTGCCCTATGACTACCGAGTTCAGCCCATAAAGATGGATTTTTAATCGCAAGTGAATTTAGGCCGCAGTCAACTCATCAGATAATGATCGGCTTTCTACTCATATAAGTCCTGGTGATTTTCTATGCTCATGGTGATGACTCAATGCGTACATGAAGGTGTGATATTTATGTAAGCTATCTCATGCTCACAACCTCTTTCTCCTTATCCATTGTTGCTATAATCAGCCGGGCCGTATCGTTCGCGCTGTTTGCATGGCCGAGAATTCAACTCCCCAGCAGGTCCGAGTCCCTCCAACTCTTTTTGAACCGTCTGCGCAGTGCTCTCCACGGCTTCATTCTGGGATCCTCCCATCCCAGTGGGGTTGGGTCCTCCGGAGTTCGGGTGGCCCGCACATGCCCATTTTTATCGAAATCAACTGGGTACATTTCACTGCGTTCAACCGCCCGAGAGTGTTTTCGAGGCCATGTATACACCTTTATCAAACAGCTTTGTGCCGTTAAAAGTGCCTAGGATTCCTTTGTGTTGTGTTGTTGATATCCAAACTTCTTTGTTGGTCCTCGGCCCATCACCGTTGAAGGGCTTGTAAGGGATAGGTTGTCCCGATGAAAAGATCACTCGACTCCGGGTATGAGGCTAGACTGTGGATGGAGTGCAGCTTCCTAACAGCAAGCAGTCGAAATGTGTTTGAATTCAGTGGCTAGATGAAAGTTGTGGGGGAATAGAAAGGATGGCATGTGGATAACTGACAGGCGGAGAAGGTAAAGTGAGAAAGAATTCATTAAATGGAGTTAATCACTTGAGGGAGAGAGAAAAGAAGGAGGATCAGGTGATGAGCAAAGGCCCTATTTGCCTGAGACAGAAAGGAATTAACGCATGTACAAACAAAAACACCACTAGAAGGACTACCAGAAAACTACTGGAGATTCTACTAAAAAGTATCAGAAGCCCACATAAGTCGCCGAATATGGCAAATATCTCATTGGATGGTTTCAGGAAGGTGCACCTAAAGTCTAGCCTCTTTCCCAGAAAAAACAATCTTTTCGCCAGTAGTCAAACTCCTCTGCAAAGCTGAACCAATAACAACCGCCTTCACCGAGCTTGAAAGCGACACTGGCGGAGCCGTATTATCCAAGCAACAAGCAGTGAACTCATTAGCTTCCGTGAGGAAAGCCTCTCTGAAACGCTCATAATAATGCTTAGGAAGATCACGTCTGGCTCCCTGGCCATCATGGATCTCAAGGTGGTTCTTCTTGCCGTGCATATTGACTCGGAGTGACCCCCTCTCGCAGATGATTTCGGTAGTATCTTCCTGTCCAGCAGCCATCATACGCGAGCAGAAAAGGGTAGCAATCTTGCCACCGTCAAACTCGACCGTAGCTACCGCGTTGTCACGATCCTTGCTCGAGTCCAATGCAGTATGGACAGCAACGACTCCAACAGCTTGCAGGCTTTTGATATTGGTGTGCTCACCAAGGAACCACAGCATCAAATCAATGTCGTGGATGGAGCAGTCGAGGAAGATCCCACCGCTTGTCTTAGCGTAATTCACGAATGTCCCAGTAGTGTCGAGCATATCTGCAGTCTGGGACCTGAAGACCACTGGTCGGCCGTGTTGGCCTGAGACCATTCTCTCATAGGCTTCGCGGTAGGAAGCATCAAAGCGGCGCGAGAAACCGCACATGACTTTCTGACTGGGGTTTGTTCTGAGAGATGTATTGTAAGCATCGAGAACGGATTGAGCCTGTTGTAGTTAGCATGTGTCTTTGTATTTGGTTTCATATAGAAAGACCTACAATCTTGATGTCAAGTGACAAAGGCTTCTCGCACATGACATGCAATCCCTTCTTTATAGCGGCAATAGTATGATCTGCGTGAACTGCAGTAATACCAGCAACGACTACAGCATCCAAGTTTTCTTTCTCAAGCATCTCATAGTAGTCCTTATAAATCTTTGCTCCTGCAAGGTTTTCTGCTGCCCACTTGTGCTCGTTAAGATCGGGAGAGCTTGCTGCTACCACTTCGGCACGGGGAGTAAAGACATGATAGTTCAAGGCGTGTCGTTGGCCTGCTATGTCAATTGACGTTCTTCCGAAAATCAGATATGGGAATAATGCTTACCCATTCGGCCAAGACCGGCGATACCGACGCGCAACTTCGGGGCTGACATCTTGAGATGAAAGGAGATTTTATTAAAGGAGTTGTAACAGTTGAATAATCTGAAAAAATGCTTTATAGGAGTAGTCACTTGAGCAATGGCCCAGCCGGGTTTATATACACAATCGTTGTTCGAAGTGGATACAATACTTGGCCGGGAAAGGGAATCCGAGTGGAATTGTGACTTGGTAAACTAGTGCAATTGCAAAAGGTAGGGTCAAAATTCTCATGTTACCGAACCTACTTTGTTGCTCTATCCGCACATCCTTCTAAGGTTTCATGCGCATGAGAAAGGTCAATGTCAAGGTAGGTATATGCCTCCTGAGTCCAATGTAAAGAAGTCGAAGAATCTATTTTCATGAATATCTACTAAGTACGCCCTTTAAAAGATCCGAGGTACTCTAGGGGTTCACAGACAAAAGCGCTATGCCCTAGGGATGAACTGGATGAGCACCCCCTCCCTCCCCAGGGCACCTTGGCGGGCGCTAGTTATATGACAAATAAAAGTGAGAAAGTGTATACCAGAAAGATGAATGACAAAGTGCAAGATCCCTGGATTCAGAACTATGGAATACAGAGTAATTATATAGGACAAACTGGATACGAAACACAGGCAAAATCAAGGGAAATTGGATCATGGCGGTCAGCAGTGACTCGGGCTGTAGCCTGCATATTCAGCCCAGTTGGCAATGTAAATGCAATGTGGTTATGTTGATATAGACGCTGTAATGGTGCATACAGGATGGAATCCTGTGTTTCATTATAGCTTCGTCGTTGCCCCGAAAGGTGTAAGAATAACCTCGGGATACATTGGATTCGATGGATATCTCTTCATCTATATGACATGTAAAGAAACCTCAGATTCCAAGCTCAACCCACAGTCTCACAGTACTCGGTGTCAATATTTTCCTTCTCAGTGTGTGCTAAGTCGGAAATAACCTCCGTGCGGGCTATCATGGTTGCCTCCGTCCAGCTAATTGCGTTCCCAGCCTCATGTTTGATTTCAAAGAGTCTGTCAATCTGCTCAAGGGACAAGTTCGCAGTCTCAACATAGAAGTACCAGATAATTGGCAGGAAGCAGAAGTTGAATATGGCAAAAAGCATGTAATACTTCCACTGGATGTTTGCGATGGCTGTTGGGGTAGCAACAACGATAACATAAACGAACAACCAATTCGTAGTGGTTGCAAATGAAGTGCCAATATTGCGCATTTGCTGGGAGTTGATCTCGGCCGGATAGATGTACGGTATCGACAGGAGCGACGTCCCGTAGAAGATATAGTAGACGAAGATGAACACCACCGCTAGAACAGACATGCCCTTGTTGTCAGGTCCGCCATATCGCAGCCCAACAGCAACAAGCGCAAAGCAAACGCTGCTTCCAGCGGCACCGAAGAGCATCAGTCTCTTTCGGCCAATGCGATCAATGAGCAGAGCTGCAACACAGCCCCAAAGCATCAGTGACATAGCGTCAACGGCCGACAAGATTAGGGCCATTCTGTTGTCCAATCCAACAGACCGGGTCAGGACTACTGGCAGATAGTATGCAATAACGTTGGTTCCACCAACTTGTTGAAAGAAGGCAGTACCAGCTCCAAGAAGAATCCTGCGCAATGTCTGCTGCTTATTGTTACGCTTGAATATTGCTTGTAAAGGCTTCGATTGTTGGACTTCGGATTCGTGGTTCACAGAAATTTCTAGAGTTTGTATCTCATCTACCACTTCAGGGTCATCAGCTGGCTTTGCAAGGAGCTGTGCGAGGATCTCGCGGGCTTCGCTGGCACGGTGTTTCATGATAAGCCAACGCGGTGACTCTGGGGCGACAAGAACGAAGGCGATGGTGGCAAGCGCGAAGAAACACTGGAAGCCAAGGGGAAACCGC